GGTTGAAGCTAGGAGGAAGGGGGACGATAAAAAAGAGGGTCACATAATATATTAATGATTTTTTGTAAGAAATGGTGTAATTACGTCACTACAATGCAATACCGCGGTCCCTGGTTCAAACTTTAGAAACCCTATTCCGTTAAAGTTTTGCCATCTTAGTAACCTCTAACCCTTGGAGTATAAAAGCATTCCTCCCCATCTCCGGGATGCAGAGCTATTTCTAGAGCTGCTTAAGACAGCTATTGCTTTGGACTTATCCCTGTTCTGGGGAGCTTTGGTTCCTCAGAACTTCACCTCCCTAGCCCTCTCATTTTGGTCAACACGTTTTGTGAAGAGTAGTAGTGCTTTATAAATTTGACCGCTAGGTAAAGGACGTGATTTTACCTAAGAAATAGCCGCAATAAACAACTCAGAACGTCGAGGGGAAAAAAAATGTTTGCAAATGGTACTTGCCTTGCCCGGAAATCTTGTCAAAAATACATCCACTTGAATGTGATTGGCATGTCACCGCGTTGATGAAACGTGGAAAGCAGTTTTTGTTGAGTATATATACGCCGCGACAGGAAGTACACAGTTTCCTGTATTCCTCTGTTTCTTCTGTACCTTGCGGGATGCATTTTCCAGCTGATACGAACACACCTGGAGGCCGACTTGTATTCCAGAGAACTTTTATGCTGATCATCAATCAAAGCAGCACAGAATGCCTGGGAGACATCGGTAGAAGAGGGAAGTAGAGACACTAGGAAGGTAAGAGGAAACAAGAAGGGAGGACTCCGGCTGAGAAAATGAACCGCACAAAACGCTCCTGAGCTGGATTTCGGAGAGACCCAGCCTTAGCCTACTGACATGAGCCTTTCAAATTTTGCGAATTCCGCCGGACTGGCTTCACGAGTACTGCAAAAAAGCATAGATGCATGAACTGGAGCAAGTTCCGCAAACTGATTTTAAATTCAGAATTAGATTTTTCGGTCCCCTAGTGCGTAGGCGAATGACAAGTTAAGTCGCTGAATCTTGAAATTTGGATGCTGAGGAGACTGGACAAGCGGAACAGAGAGCGAAAAACAGAGGGGCTGAATTTAGCTTGCTTCGGCTCTTTTTGGACACTCTTGGATGTGTCACTGGTCAGGCATGCTTATGAGTAGATACTGTAAAGATGATGATTCGGCAAAATGGAAATCTGAAATCCAGTGTTGCAAATCATGTTTGCAGACTGAAGAAGCTGAAATTTTATGACCGTATTTCGAAGTTATGCTTCACATGAGCATTTTAAAATCAGTTAAGATACTTCCGCATGTCATACCTGTGACCAAATTCGAGCTAATTTTAAAGCTTAATAAAAAGCTTCGAGTTGCAACTTTTATATTACCAAAAAAAAAATGTTGCAGATTTAGTAAATCCAAGCTATCTTTCTTATCTCACCGCATCTTGTTTTTTGGCTCAAGTCTAAGTTTAGGCTTTAGTGAGAGTTAGGTTGCAAGCTCGTTGATGTGGGTGGAAGTGATAGAGGTATAAGCTCACTGTGGTCCAAGAGATTGTTAGAGTGCACTACCTTTGGGATGTGGTCATTCAGACAAGCTGGTCTTTCAGTAATTTTTTCCTCACGTAATCTTATTTTCTTATCGTTTCTCTCAGTCTGCTTACCTGCCACAACTGATTTTCTTTTTAAATGAGGCTGTTTAAAAAGGCGAAAACTTCACTTACTCGGTAAGCAGTTACTTTCGGTTGACTGCGTTGGCTCTGCTCCAAAACTGTATATTGTTCCGTCGTCGTTTACTGGCAAATGCAATAATGAGTTGTTTCCTTCGTTCACAATAGCCTCATTCAGTTTCCAGATAATATCGTGGCATAAATCGTTGCACTCGAATGGTCTACTAATATCCTGAAACATTACCCAGTCGTTACCCTTGGTTATGCAGGTACAAACAAAATCCTACCCTCGATGGAAGGAAGTCATAACGCCGTCCATAACAAAGTGATTTGCCTTTTCTAAGTCAGTTTGCTTCTGAAGCTGCCCTTCAGTTAAGC